AACAGAAGCCTTGTAGGGTTCATGATAGGATGGTAACATTTCAATAAGTTCGGAAGAACCAAGTGATACGGATAGCAACTTAGAGGAAGATGCTTACACTCACGAACTACGCAATGTGTGACAACAGAACAGTAAAAAATCATTCTATGCATCCAAAATGATAGATTTCTATATCAGTGCTAACTATTTGTTTTTGCGTAGCTTTTACATGATCAATATGTCAAATATTTTCCAGAGATGCATGCAGGTCATTCTAAACTTCTTTTTTAATCGTACCAGAATAATTTTTTCTTATCATAATATCTATTATTGAGAAAATATATTATTGACCTTTTGTATTTAACTTAATGTATTCTGTGTGCAAACCGAGTAAAGATGGGGTACAGTTAGCAGTAGTTGAAACGAAATTAAATTATAGGTAATCTAGTGAACCTAATTAGTAAATCGTCTAGTAGTGATAAAAAGAACTAAAGTGTTTATATGCTTAACGATTTATAAATACGTATCCCAGTGTTTTCATAAGGTGTGTTTTACGATCTACGTAGACAATTTGACATACTTAAAATTAATCTATGTGCGGTTGTTTAATTAGTAAGAAATGGCGAACACTCATGCTGGTGTTACTACATTTATTAATCAAAGAAAGTACTTTATATTAAACCATATCTAATTTTCTATTATCCAAGTGTTATTATCTAGTATATTTGTTTTTACTAGATTACAACAAAACATTCACTACAAATATTTCCTTCCGCTTAAAAAATGTGTGCTGAATTATATATTAATAAAAAATAGGATAGTTCCTTGTTTATAGATCTTATTCGTAATATGTTGATTGAAATGGGTTATCCACAAGGTTTTCTGAAGAAAAGCTTGTATGTGGTAAACAGAAAAATATCGACTACAACGGCTAGTAAGAAAACTCTCTCCCTGATGCTGCAAATCAACGGGGATTTAGCTGTTGATGTGCTACATGACAGTCTGACTAGAGCAGTGAAGAGAACGTTTATGCAGTTAACCTGTGTCTGTCGTTCTCAACTTGATCTATGGTGGTTCTTCAACTAAATTATAAGTTATCTAGTTTTGTCGTATCTATGTGTAACTACGAATTCAACTGTTCCTACGGGCTCACAACCGGACAACTGAACCAAAGAGTTAGTGAACACATCCTTTCGTGGTTTGAAAAGAGTAACGCCAAGACAATGCTCTGCTCGAAAGCGGTCATGCAGTAAATGGAAATAAGTAATTTATCGTATTCCTACTAGTTTTCTTTATGGGGTTCGATCTCATCTCTTACACATAGCAGAAGCTACAGGAGTTCGAGCTAACAATCCAAGTCCCTGTATTTATAAGAAATTTGTAACACCTTTATCTCTTCCTTGGCCGAATTAGCCTTAATAAAAGATTTTATTATTATCCATAATGATTGTTGGTTTATTTTTTATCACTCCCTTTTTTCGTTTTTCAAGTGTACGCCTCATTGTCCAATTATCTGAACACTCCTTAATATGTAATCTTATGGATTTTATGAATGCTATTTCAGCATCCATATTTTTCAAGTCATTGACCTAATTCCCATTATGAAACACGGATTCAAGTCTTCATTTTTATCATACCTAGTACACCCACCTGTCATCACACTACAAATTTGTACTTTTCATTTATTATGTTTATTTAAGTAACCTATTTTACTGTTATCACTGACTCATAAACTGCCTTGATTGGTTTGATAATTTCGTATTTGCATATAAATATTATTGTATATTCAAACCTGATGAGGATCGTCATCAGCAACAACATACATCAAAACAATATATATAAACTAACAATATTGTTAGCTTATGTATGTTGTTCTAATTCACAATATGGGAAATTTCAAAAATAATATTTATATATAAGTACTAACAACAATGAACTGTATGTCATAATTTTCTCATGACTTGCTTACGAAATTAGTTCCGTCCATGGCATAAGATAGATGAAGGTGACCTTCTTAATAATTTATATTTTCTAATAAGTATTAATAGTGTGATGAGTCAATGAAAAAAGAGATAATGTTTATTTCATGTTTTAAAACGGATATCATCATATATTCCTTAACAAGGAATAGAAATATAAATAAGGTTTAACGCAAATATGAAAAGGTTTATGATGACCGAACTGAACATATGGATTAGTGTTTACGCATGCTTGATTCTCAGCATTGTTAACAATTTACAAGTTTATGCAGAAGCTGTAATAGCTTCATACGGCGGGGTAACTGTTTATTATTTTCTAGTCTTATTTCATTAATATCACATATAATTCGTTAAGCGTAAGTACAGTCTCAACGATTTCTCTTATCTAAGGTATGTTGATTTACATTATCTTACAAATACAATTTGTAAATGATTGGTTTAACGAATCGATAAGGAAGCAGTAAGTTATTCAAGTTCCTTTAAAGTCTCTATCTAGGTCATTTCACATCTTATGCTCTCCGTGATTCTCTACTTTTACATTATTAATATATTGATCGATATTTAGCCTTTCACTACATTTTTTTGTATATTATACGACCGGAATAATTATGAAAATTCTATTGAACTTTGATTAGTAAAGAGTTTATTATACTAATAGTATGATTTTAATTTATTATGTATTGATGCCACGTGGCTTAAGAAGATCTACTTTTGAACGTTGATAAAAAGAGTTCCAGAAAACTTCATACACAATTTAAATGTAAATGCTTCTCATGGAATTCAACTAATCAGATCACAAAAAAGTTATTTACAACCAATAAAATAATAATTTTGCTGGAGAAAAAAGTGTGACTATAGGTAAATTGAACACATATTTGAATAACACTTAAAACAATCACTATTTTTTTAAATATATTTGTGGTCACATCCTCAATATTTATTTTTAGGGGTATAAAAAACCCACAGCCAGTTTAATGTGAACTAAAATAATCGACAGAATACAAATTGTTAGACTTAACTACGTAATCCTGTCACATTTTGGATATCTAACGGAAATCTTATACAAATGAAATAGACAGTGAAAAGATGTCTCAAATAAAACTGACTAAAACACTGAAAATCCCACCGAGACCATATGAAGGTAACAGAATATTTTTGGAATAAATAAGTATATATATATTTGTCATGTACAAAAGGCGCATACAATAAACAACTAAAAACGAAATAGCATAAAACAAACTGAAGCAACCGTACTAGAAGATAAGATTAACAATAGAGAGAACAGATCCCAAATGTTATTCAAATTAGTTAATCATAAAATATACACCATAAAGACACAGAATGAAGGGAGCTTAACAATAACAACAATTATGAGACATGATCACGTTTTGTGCTTTTATTCATAATTATCTAATTAACTTTTTAAATTCATTGTTTAGACAATTATATGTGTGATACACATATGTACAAAGGTTAAACTGTTCATTTACACTTGATATACGTTTACCTTCATAGTGTTTTCACTCATTTAGTATTTATGTGAAGAACTATGACAGTAATAATAATTGTGCCGAGAAAAAAGAAAGGGGTCAGGATGAGATCAAATTTATCAGCAACAACAACAATATTTTCATGAAATTCAATATGAAATAAACGTTAATAACCAAATTAAACAAACATACATACATGCATAGTGACCGCTTTTCTTACAACTATATATATATATATATATATATATATATATATATATATATATAAATTAAATGTTAAAGAATAGAAGAACAAAACACGCACACGTGTTGAGACTGAAATTTCTATAAAACAGAATCGATGCGATATTGAGTATTATTGATAGTGTATAAACAATAATACACAATCGTAACATTTTATCCAATAAACTAATAATAGTTTTGGGGAACTTTTACAAAGAGAAAACAAATTGCAAAATACTAACGATCAAAATTTCAACGAAAAAATTGTTGAAATGAAAATAAGGAAGAAGTACAAATACATGCATAATAAGTAAGAAAATAAAAAAAAGATAGGGAGACAGAGAAAAAAAGAATGAAAATAAAAAAACAAACTAATTTAAAGTAACATTTAATATAGACAGAAATGCATTACTATTTGTAAGAAAATATACCTCACATTGAATTATGAATAAAACAGACAAATGAATAAAGAGTGAAACGAAATGTGCTTTATTGTATTTCCTTTAAAAAAACTATTACTGCAGAAGTTTACAAACTTTATTCTTTAGATGAAAAAAAACAATTAATCATAGGAATATATACGCTCAAGCGTAAAACAGCATTATGCAGAGAGAGAGAAGACGAATTCCACTTTTTTGTTTAAATACTAGAGAGGAAGAACGCATTTGAATTTAAAATGTTTCGCATTACTTATGTAAGGATAGAGAACAAGGTGGAGAAACCTGAGAGCAAATGCAAACATAATAATAACGACAATAGAATACTAGGAAGGAACAAAATTGTTAATAAATGTCAATTTAAAAGACATACTGGATGACATTTAGAAGCATATATTGTCTAAGAATCAAGATACCTGTTAGGTAAAAAAAGCATAAAATGGATAAATACGAATGGTCGCGGTAAACATAATGAACAGGCACAATATATGAAGGGAAAAAGGGGCAAGAAAAGCAAGATGTATTTACATTTATTTATTCAGAGAAAAAATAATGAGAAAATAAATATACAAAGAAGATTCACTTACAAGCATACACATATACATCACATTTCTTTTTAGTAAGATAATAATTTTCATTGAAATGCATCATTGTCCACTAAATGACTATTAAGCATTATGGAAAGTATTTTACATTAATTCTAGTATTACTTTGATAATGATAGTTGAAAATAATCACAGATAACTTCTCTTTTATCTTTGATAAGTGTATATGCATGTACTCAGAAGAAAAAGCTTCCAAATGAAGCATGATGATGAATGAATGAAAAGACGAGATAAATTCACCATACATGTAATCTAAAGAAGTTTATAGTGTATATATATATATATATATATATATATATATATATATATATGTCTGGACAGGAGAAAGTTCAACAAAGAATACATAGAAAAATGATTTAGAATTAGAATGGTTATGATGATATATCTATGTATTTATTCACAATTTAAACATAATTTCATCATTATTCTACACATACGACAACGAAGACAGCATCATCATCTGATAGTTGAATTTTCATTCCCATTTTCTACAAGCCACACAGCATGTGATACAGATCTCCAAGATTGCACGTCAGCAGAATCATTGTGCATATTAACATCGGGAACGTAGCGTACTAGATTGTCAGAGGAAAATCCACCGAATTCAGGAAAAGGACCTGTTATAAAACAACAATAATACACATCAGTTTCTTTAGGAAAAATGAACAATGTATGTATTAAAATCGTTTAAAAAAAGACGAGAGTACGTAAAATTTATCCCCAAATATATTCAGATGAATTTACAATGAGTGCTATCTGATCACAATGCACTAAAAAGTAGTCTTAGTACTTCCTCCAAATAAGAGATTCGCAACTATTGCACGTATATTGGTTGTTGTAACTAAGAAAACCAAGAAGTAAATACAATGAATTCAAAGCAATTTCAGATTAAATTTTAAGAAGTACTACTAATAATAATGTGATAATAGTAGTAGTATTAAATTGAGTTGTAACTTCATTTTATGTTAAGTTGTGGCAAAAGCTTCACATAAAAGAAAGGAATCAACAGTGGTAGTAATACAATAGGCTAAACATTTAAAATTTAACGTTTGACAACATTATTTTGAGAAAAAACAATTATTAAGATAAATTAAAATCATATAAAACACTCATACGACTACTGAAACAGTGACAGAACAAGGGTAATCTGAAGTATAATTTCATTTAAGGCACTAAGATGTTGAATGTCTAGTTTTTACCATTCAACAATATTGGGTACAGGTTGCATGCTTTCAAATATTTGGCAGTAGTATTATTTTTCGGATACCGGAAATAAGGACCACTTAGCGTATTGGTCAGATACATGTTCAATAAACTGTGAATAACTTAAACTGTTTTTTAGCATAACTGGAATAACTAAACCAAATCTGTTACTGCAAAAACATGATAAATAAACTTCGTCTAACCTATCACTAGACAAAAAACGCAGAAATTATCTGGACATTAATCAATCCCTGAAAATTTTTAATTTCAGAGTGATTTTATAGTCGATAGATAAATCCTATTTCACAATTAGTTTCCTTAACATATTCTGTTTGTTATTAGGTTTGAATTAACGTAAATAACCATTTTGTTAAAAGAGACACTTTTGAGAGCTTTATGCTAAAATACTAGGTAAATATCTTGTTTTGGAGTGGTGAGTTACGCGATAATTTTCGGTTGTCTTTAACATAGGCTATAGTAAATTAAACAATTCACTTTGAGACAGTTCACTTTGTGTGTGACCAGATTCAGCTTGTATTTAAAACCTATCACGTGGAAGGTCAAAATCTAAAAGTTGATTAAATGAATATTTTTTAACTCAGCTACAAATTCTAAGATATACAAAAAGGTGATGAACCTGAATAATACTGTAGCACTTAAAAGTGAAGGAAAAACAAGCACAGAGATCTAATTATGTTTAGATCCAAAAAATATATGTTTTATTACTACTGCTTAGTTACTACAAACATTTTAAAAAGTTTCATTTTATACAGACACTTAAGGTACAGGAAATGTGCAGTTCTTAAGGTTAACAACTATTTTTCAGTCAAAAGATGGTATAAAAGTAATAATAACAATCCATTGACATTATCACACAAACCAATAACTTGAAACTTGGAACGCATAGGTAAACTAACTAGACTATATGATAACGCATACAAGTAGTATTCAGAAATTAGTTATTTTATTTTATCAACCGCAGACAATTGAAGACAGTCGCCAATATCGTGAATTGATCTAAGTTAGATAGTGACACCATTGGATGCTGAATTAGTGGTCTAAAGATTAAGTGCTCATATGCTAGGGCGAAGGTCCTGAGTTCGACTCTTGTGTGCACACTGCTAAGGAGTCCAATACTGGCCAACTAGTATTTCCAGGTTTTCAAAAATGGTCTTACTAAGATAAGTTTGTGCTTTATAATCTATAAGTTACTACATAGCTAACGCTTGAGAATAACTAAAAATGGTGAATCTCATTGAAACCATAAACCGATGTAGGTAAGACCATCACCGTTAGAAATTTGGGAGTACTGGCAACTATTCCGTTCTAGTATGGGAAATTTCAGTGGTGCTCATCCACGATCATGCGCGCAGAACTCGAACTCAGGGCTGTCGACCTCATGCGTGAACATTCAACTTCTGTACCAATGAGTCAGCACGCAACAGTGTTAATGACCGTTTTTGATCAATCACATCCTCACTGGTGACTAGCTTGAAAAAGAAATTTTTAGAGTCCTAGTGAGAAGCTGTGACCATTTGAGCTAATCTGGGTCGGGCGTGAGACAGCTACCCACCGAAGATAATAGGAGATGGTCGCCCAATGTCGTGGATTTATGGAGGTTAGACATTAACACTTAGATTACGACGCAGTGGTATAGAAGTTTAACGTTTACGTACGAGACCGATAGCCTTGAGTTCGAGTCCCGCGTGCATGATCGTGGATGAGCACTCCTGAAAGGTTCCATACTAGGACGGGACGGCCGTCCAGTGCTCCCAAGTTTTCAACGGTGATGGTCTAACTTACTTCGGTTCATGAGTTCAATGAAATTCAACAACTCCCATAACTCCCCATACTAAAAATGATATCTACAGTAAAACTAATTTTTGTTATCACCATATATGAACATTGCATAGTTACTAGTGCAACAATCATTATAAAAATAGCATTGATACAATATTATTTAGTAAGAATTTAAACTCACTAATAATAGTAATAATAATAATGACGAAAGAAGTGGAAGTGCAGTTTCAATAAAGACACAAATGTCATGTCTAAGCAACAATACATAATATGCATAAATAACAGAATATTAGTTTTATAAACATATTTAACTATAAACAACTGTATATGTATACATTCGTTTATATATGTTTGTTTACTTGTTTAATATGAATTTAAATATTGATAGATTAATAGGTGTTTAAGGACAAAGGAGATTGATGTCAACGAAAATCCATAGTATAATGATCTAGGTCACAGGAAGATGAACGACAAATAAAAACAAAATTCTTCTCTTCTTAATAAATATGGAATTTCTGGTTAACTATTTATTATTTAAGTAATGTAGTTGAAAGTGAAAGTTATACAATATTGACATACATTGTGAGTGGAACTTAAAACTCAAATCCGTACTACTATGATTTAAGTAGCATAGCAGTATCGATAGTCCTTACGCCAACAGGGTGGCTCAAACGAGAGTATATGGATATGTGCCTCGTAAATTAGTTATTTTTAAAAGTATTTCTTGCTTTATTATATGGAAACTAAAGAGCTGTAAACTATGAGGTAATATATAGAAATGTAAGTTCCATAACTGGAACATAGATAACAATGCGATCCCAATCAACAATCAAACAAGTTGATTTATGTAGTCTTATGGTACTTTTATCTCAAGTAGATCTCAATTTATTTTTCAACAGCGTCATGTTTGAAAAGAAGGATCTAAAGCCCTGTGAGTGCTAACAAAACTGAATAATTTCAAACTGACACGAAACACGATAATGTAATACGAATAGACACATAGTTTGATTACTGAATCAAGACAATTTGTCTGATTATTATTTCCTTTAAGTGAGAACGAACTATTCCTATATATTTTCCTCTAAATTATAAACTTGCGTGAACAGGTTACATGACGAAGATATACTAAAAAGACAATTAAACTAAACTTGTGGGCGACGTATTTAGTAATGAGTTTATTGGCTGTTCACCTACAAAAGGCGATTTGAACCGCATCCAACTGCAACCTACCACCTATCAAATTCAAACATCGAATTTGAGGTCATGAGTAAACTAAAATAAGTGGTGATCATATTTGAAAGATAACATATTTCTGATATACAATAAGTGTCTATAAGCACGAAAGTAATGAAAACACTACATTCGAAATTTTTTAAGATTATTTGATAAAAATTCCAAATACTGAAAGTTATTAAGTTTTTCAGTAAATACAAATATTTAAAAACGCAAAGATTTCCTTATAAATTACGTTTTTAAGAGATATTTCACAAAAGATATGTAAAAAACTACAACAGCGCTAACCCCCGCCCCAACTATACATATTAAGGAAGGACAAGTAGTGGTTCAACAACAAAAAACATGAAAATTATGAAAAAAAACTGAACCGCCACAAAATTGGGAACGCAATAATTACACATTCTTTCCCGATTTTTCCCACCTACGTAGGAAAAGAATAAAAACGCAGACTATAATTTCGAGTTAGTTAATCTATAAGGAATCATTTACAGAGTTCAAATTTAATGGTTTAAACTCCTAAATGCTAAGTTATATGTCCCCATAGTGATAGAAGTCTATGAAGGGAAGAGGTGTGTATAGGGATAACCTAAATGTCATTCATCTAATTACATCTTATACGGACTTGATAATTGATAATAATTACGGCTTCACTATAGAGTACAGGAATGTGGTTTGTCTTATCTAGTAAAAGGATCAACAGAATTGAAATAGGTAAAGATGATTACGTGACACGGTTAAAGTATTGCAGCACAATGAAACAAAAGGATAAATAATAACGCTCGATTTCAAGGATTTTCTTGTTAGGACCGACCGTTATGTGGCCATACAAGCGCCATATTAGTCATAAGCAGCATAAGACCAGATATATATATATACGATAGAGAGAAAGAGAGAACGGACCTGGTAGTGAAAGCAATCTTTTGTTATTAGATTGTAGGTTCAAACCATCGCTTCAGTCACTTGTACTTGGTAAATAAGTTGCGTTAGATTAAAATACCCTACAGCGAACATTACAAGAAAGTGAATTTAACTGCATACTTGCTATCCAAATAACCAAGTTACGAATGATCTTTCAAGTCGAAACCGCAGTTTATCAGTAAACGCTAAGTGAACTAATCACCAGAATACTCTAGTAAAATTATGAAACCATGTTATTTATAGCCTGACAACTATTTTTTCTAGAAATATGTATTATTTGAAATATTTTGCCAAAAATATCTATCTCGAACTGAGTTAGATCATGAAAAAATACATACGTTATGACATAAAAATTATATTTTCAACAAAAATAAAATACCTCGAAACTCACCACTTTCAACGGAGGTGTGTGGAGATGGAGTAAACGGGCATAAATCTGAAGATTGTTGCTTGTTACAATGATTTCGTTGTTGCTCCTGCAAATGCAATTGATGACCATCAAATTGATGAGGGTTAATAGTATTTATATGTGAAACGGATGATTTGTCAGTGTTAGGATTTAGATGACCAAAGGTAGAGGCTCGTTTGTCACGTGCACGTTGATTTTGAAACCACACCTGAACAACACGCATAGGTACACCTAACTCGGAGGCTAAGGCTTCACGTATCTAATGACAACAGAAGAAAATTACACTGTCAGGGTAAAATGTTTCATAAATCAGTGGTAATTAATAGAAATTAAAAAACTTCACATTAACTGTTCAACACATCAATAGTAAGTTACCAAAACCGTTTTGTAATAACGTAGTTATTTGCAAACAAGACTTGTGAATAGTAGTTACGTAGTAAGAAAACCACCCAGATATGTAAAATGTTTAGGAATGAACGAACATGGCGACTAGTTAACAAAGACTGGCAACTATTATTATCTCATTATGCTGATGAGCTGACCACCAGTGTACTGAAAACTGGTGATCATTGACTTGCATTCACTAGTCAATCCACGTGGTAATTAAACAGAACTTCACTTGCAAACGAAGTAATAAATACGAAGTTCACAGATCAATGTTAAGTATTGGCTGAATGATTGAAGAACATAGCTTTCAGTTATTAGTTTACCAGCTGCATCGTTATTTTAAAATAATAGAAATTACTATAAAATGGAGACAATTATAACGAAAAAAAGAGTAAGTGTTCGATTATAATAAGTAAGAAGTACGAGTTGATAGGAGGGTGACAAATATAGTAGTAAATTTCAGAATAAACAGCATGATACTGTGAACAAATATATTGACATAGCAAGTAGGTTAAAGCCTGAACACATAAATCATTAAAGGTTACACAGGAAATGTGCGTGAATAATTAGATTAAACATGTAAGTGGTGAAAAAAACACTATCACACAAGGGATGTGAAAAATTGGTAAAATTGCTAAGTAGTTGTATAGAGAGAAACTTTACCAACATGACAATAAACGCAATTCTTTAGCCGCATGCTCAGAGAAATACGATTAGATGTCTTACAAACAAAGCAACCGATGGTTAAAGACCTTGAATGATATGGCTCAAAATCGTTTGGAATGGCGCAGGTGCATCCACTCTCTGTGTTCTCCCGAATTCTAGTCTTCTGCATTCTTCATGTCCCTTTTTTCTCTTTCCAAATTTATTTCACTGGATCATGCTCCTTAAATAACATCTTCAAACCCTAATCTTTCCGATTACCGCTTATACTTTTACTACCTCTACCACTATGGGATTTCAATCGACAAGTGTATCTCTGTTCTAATGTGGTATGGCAATGTGAAATGATATACGTACGTATGAAGTTCTACATTGTTGCTGACTGACTGACAAACAGAGCTAGGAGGATATGCTCAGATGACACTATAAACAAAGAACTAAAGTTCATACATAATATAGTTATTAAAATAAGATACAGGATTTTTTGAAGGAATATATGTATGCAATGAACAGGAAGGCACAAACATTAACTGTTTGTGGGAAACCTCTCTTATTGGAGCTACAATTCAACAGAGATACAGCTAATGATCCAAATCAGGATGAGCTAACTAGAAAAGTGGAAAGGATTTTCAATTCAGCTAATCTGTCTGTTATTCTCTAGTTAGCTTATGGTAGTTCCTCAGCTAAAAGATAAGTTATCTGATTCTGCCACATCTATCTATATATAGGAATGTAGCTAGTCCTGTGAAAGCTACACTAGGCCTACGACTATACAACATAGCCAACGAGTTAACGAGCACCTCTGCAGTCGGGAAAGAGTTTGGTCGACAATAAATAAGCAGCTCCATTCTATTACGCTAAGTCGATAGCGGTAATGTAATAGATAGAATCAACGCGTCTAGAGAGGTTTTTGGTATAAAGTTAACTTTTCCTAATGGGGTTCAATCTAGTCTCCTACATGTGGCAGAATATATAAAGATTCAAGCTGACAACCCTGGTTTTCGTATTTGGAAGAAATTTGTTTCTTGGCCACATAAGACTTAATAAACAATTCTACCGATTTTTTCACATCCCTTGTTTCTAAGTTTTCTTGACCGTTCCGTATCCCTGATTCACCACTTACAAGTCCAATCCAATTATTCACGCACATGTTTTATGTAACTTTTAATGATTTATGCGTTCAGGCTTTAACCTACTTGCTATGTCAAAATATTTGTTCATATATATACTGTATATTAAAGCCTGATAAGTTTGGTTGAAAACAATATTGTCTGCTTACATTCTTTGTCCTATTGTATGATTATTCATAAAACGCATGCGCCTAAACTAGATTACTATCACCAAATAACACTAAGGGAACAAATCAGATGCAAAGTTACTTCTTCTTGACAATGATGTACAGGATAACCATTAAAGGGCTTCCATAATCGAATTATTGAAATATCGTCAGTAAATGATTACTTATAGTTGTTTGTTTAATTGTATCCAGTATCCTCGGTAGGTGTAAAAACATGAGTGTGATGACTCTATTACGTAAGTCAACAAAACTGTAGAAATATATTAAAATGTTATCATTTATTGTTTTATATTGCACAACTAACTATCAATGTTAGTAACAAATAAACTTACACTTTTTGATGGACGAATATTTATTTCGTATGCCTCCTGCAATCGATAACGCTGTTCGTCAGTAAGTGAAGTTCGTATACGTCTATTTAAACTAAATCCTCCACTACTAACTGATTGATAACTTTGATCTAAATCTTGATTAGCCATTGTTGGCCAATCATTTCTATGACTTGTTAATTCAATATCATCACATTCATTTTGTCGATTAGATAAACAATAATTTGATGAAGATTGATGAATATGTTCAGTGTTTTCATCATACTGTCGCCAATTTCTAGGAGATGATGACGATGATGTGGAGGATTTAAAATCGGATGATTGACGATCATTTATTCGGACAGGATAAACAGTAGTAGATAAAGTTGAACTTTGATGATGATTAGGTCGTTGTGGCAGTATTGGTGATTGTTGTCTCTGTTGTTTAGTCATAAAATCGGAATGACACATAGGTCGACAAGTAACGGGGTCAATAATGTAAGCTTCACCAGCTGCTATTGGTTGTTGACAAATGCAACATGTAAAACAGGAGACGTGAAATATTAATTCCTGACTTAAAGAGGATAATGTAGAATTAAGTGGATTTTTAACAGAAGTGGAATGTTTTGCACGCATAAATAACTCATGACTTCGCATTGGTTGTCGACAATTTCCACATTTAGTTGCATAAAGCCTGAAAATAGTAAAATAAAATTTGATGGTACACAAACTATGTAAACACTAGATAGTTGTGTAATGTATAAAAAAAAATTGCATTTTAGCATATACATATACAGCATATATATATATATATATATATATATATATATATATATATATATATTCAGAAATCTGTGAACTACACATTAATTGATAGATGGAAGCCAGGGATACCATTAAGAGGATGACTAGATTTAAAAGCATGACCCAATAATAATCAAGTGTTCGTACATCTTTATAAAATCCAATAGAATTTATCAAATAAAACGGATAGAAATCAAGTGCATTAACTTCGATTGAATAACTAATTAGAATTTAAAACACTATGTATTAATATATGAGGTTGTTAACTGATCCTATGATATTTCAATTCTGCTTTGTTACGACACATAGACACAGATAAACACCTTTTGCGGAACAGGATTAATCAGAAAGAATTCATTATTTCAGCAGTCAGAAAACGTAACATCTAGAACACAAATGCTTAGAAATTCAAGTTGTTACATAACATCACAACAGAAAAGAGAATAAATAAGATGGAGAGTGGAGGTGAATAAACAATGATACCCGATTACGGCAGTTAATTAATCATACCTAATATCGTTATAGAAAAACGAATGGGATTGAAAAGAGGAAGACATGAAATAATCGTAAGTTAGAGATTAAAGGAGAAAAAAATGAATCTAATTGCGATCGATTTTGGGCCAACAATTCCTAACCAAAGACAACGACTATTGTGGGGATACCAAATAAGAAATTTGTCTGCTGACATTTTCTATAGTTTGTCCGCATATATAATGTAAAACTGGGATTAATGAAATAGTTGCAGTGTTTCAAAACCGATGGGAACGAGGAAACTGAAAGTATTTTTAACAGAAAAAAATAATAGGAAATACAAAAATGGATGAGATTTATATGTAAACAGCATGTCAATTATTTATTTATTTAAACACATAGACATTGGTACAAGGAGGCGCCAAATACATATGCACCACACTTCATCATTAGATTTGTATGACGGCTGGGATACTGCCCGGGTGCTCAAACCGAAGCAGGTGGTTTTCTTAGGGGGCCACACCTTCAGCCTTGGACCTAAAAGTCAGGAGATGCAGTCCCATGATAGTCGGTGACCAACAATAAGTCCATACGCCATTTGTTCCTTCAAGATACTGGAGCCCATGTGCACCATGGGTTTGGAATCAGGGTTTTCCAACTCCCCTAGGTGCATGTCAATACCTAAACCTGATCGACAAAATTCAATATTAAGAGCTAGATGAACATAGAACTGGTCAATACTCCGTGATTAATCTATGCAAATATCGCATGCCTACAAGTCAGTTGCGGTCTACATAGTTCGGTCATAATGTCTCAGACTGTGAGACCGGGTTCGGACTCACTAGGGAGCAGCAGTCCCCTTATGATTGGAGGTAAACCTCCAACTAACTTGCTCCAAAACTGTTGGAATATTCAGAAAAATATCCCAAAAATTACCCTGTTAAGCCTAATGCTATCCTTGGACGCGAAATGGTGTCATTTTCCTATTGGTCAATATTTATTTCACGTGTCATTTTCTTGTTGGTCAATATTCACGGTAGTCCTAACTGTATAAATATGCATTTGTCTGTAAATCATAATTCTTATTATTATTCTTCTCCTGACCCCATAAACAATTTTCATCTAACGGTTCGTGCCCCCAAATGCCCTGGTACGGCCGAGAGTGGGGAGAGTCCGCTCTCCCTCTCAAAATGCTCACACATGGCCACGCGTATACAGCCCCTGCCAGGGAAGTCCTACTCACTGCCTTCTCGTGGCGGGGGTGTTGTTTACGAAAATGAGAGGACGAAAAGCGAATGTCCGGCGCTTTAACCGGACTCCAAACCAATGGTGCACATGGGCTCCAGTATCCTGAAGGAACAAATGGCGTATGAACCAACTTTTGGTCACCGGCTACCATGGGACTGCATCTCCTCACGATGCTCCACTGCCTTGTGGGTCAGACGTTCAGGTCGAAGGCTCGGGGTGTGGCCCCCTAAGAAAACCACCTGCTTCGGTTTGGGCACCCGGGCAGTATCACAGCCCTCACACATATCAAATGAGATATGTGTGGCGCATATGTATTTGGTGCCTCCTTGCACCAATATCTATGTATTGAAATGAAATGAAATGAAATCGTGTTCTGATATATTGGAGATTGGGGAACAGTATTAGAGTCGTACTAGGATATCTGCAGTTGGTCAATCAGTAGAATTTAGAGAAGCCACCCCGCGGTCCACAATAAAAACATAGCTCACTCGATCATAGCTAACGACTAGGCAAACATGACATTCGTCACTAGTCAGTGATAAGTCGCTGTAGATAGTTAAACAACGTACATAGAAAATATAATTCTCATTCACCGATTACAGATTTCCTACTCATGCTACATAACAAACTATTTTAGAGAGAACAATCTGAAATCATTAAAGTTTTCTCATATTAAGAATAGATCCAATCAATATAACTAGGAGGCTATTACAATGTAACACATCAGTTGTTTTAAGAGTATATTTAAAGCCTGGTAATAAACAAAGGAAACTTTGAGCCCAAAGCTATTGAGTGTTGATAAAGATCCTCAAGTTTAGAAGTAATGTAAATCAAAATTCTATAAAATCTATAAATCATTAACGAATTTGTAGCGAACTTCAAATCTTCTGTCAACTTGAATTAAAACCGTAGAACAATAGGCCCTAACATATTTTAGATACATTATATATATATATATATATATATATATATATATATATATATATATATCGGATGTTAATTTTAGACTAGCAACTATGAAATTGCGCTTTTCAGTAAGTGTAACCAATAAACTGTAATAAATATAAGTAAACATGGTAAAGTACACCGTCCATCCAGGCACATGAGCATGAAGAACCAAGATTACAGTTCACAAAATAGTCATAGTACAAAATGTTATGATTTATCTTGTGTCAGATCATTTTAACGTTAAACACTACCAATGATTTACCAAAAGATGTTTGGAGTTCAGTTCTCATACTATGCAAAAACTTATAACTTACTATAACCAGCTTAGTATAACTAAATGTTCCATTAAATTTTTTAAAGAATGAAACATTACCTTAACTTGATTGACATGTAACAAAGGAAACCCATTGTGTCATTGAATAAAGAATAGAAGCAACTCAGCTGAAATAGATTTTTTATCGATATTTCTGACTGATAAATTATCTTCATTTACCTATTCTTCTGTAGCCTTTAGATTATTATGTACCCATCCTTTGGTATCTAAGACCTCCGGAATCTATGACATAACCACTTCACATTCTTTGATAGACTCATATATTTATTAAGCCACCACAATTATGACTGTACATGTGTAGTAAATGATACCCTCGAAAAATCCTTATTACAGAGTTACCTTTATTCAATTAAGCGGTGACTTAGTGGTTAAGGAGTTCGACTTCCAGTCAACAAGTCCGAGCTTCGAACCTCGCTCCACATACTTCGGATCGGATAATCCGGGTAGTATCACGATCCCTCACACTTCGCGTGTGACTCACGCCCAAGTACCTAGTGACTGAGTTAATTTACTATTTATTTTTGTCATGTTAAAAAACAAAATAGAAAAGTTACAAAATTTTGCAACTTACCGGTCATAGTCTCGATGACACAACAGTTCATTTTTGTTGACGATAAAACATACTTCTACGAGTTCAACTGAACAAACTGAACAGATTGCGCACGATTCGTGCCAAGCTAAACCTTGAATACGATAAAGATATTGATCTGTAATGTTTTGTCTGCATCCAGCACAAGTAGGAAGAGGATCTTTAGAAGATGGATAAGAAATTAATGGACTATGTGATACATCAAGAGTGGATGAAGCATTTACTGAGTTGTAAGGAGTCTCCCGATAAACGACTCTTTCTGTAACACAATCAGAACTGTGGTGTCTTAACAGACCAGGAAAGTAAGAATTCGGATCTGCTGAAAAATGAAACTTCTATCGATTAGGATAAAAATCATTTTTAAAAAATACATATATAATTATTTGATTGCTATGCGATAGATAAATTGTTGAATATCAACTGTATTTAGGAGAAACAATCTATAGGGGATAGTACAGTCGTTCAGAATGTAGGGTCATGTCCGGTAATTTAACTTTCTACAATCAAACTAGATGTTAACGCAGGTGGGCAAGATAAAGAGTTAAACTTTATAGATGCAAACTGAATACAAAAAACTATATGGTTTAAGATCGCACAAACACGATTGCACATTGTCAGTATTTTATGATAGAAATAAATCGTCTCTCCAACCCACGATCAAATCCTTCATTAACGTAAGACCTTCTGGAAAAAACCAGGACCTACTAACGGAAGGATATTTGCAGTGAAACTGGATGAGTACAAACAAAAAGTTTTAAATACGAGTATATTTTTTAGTAACTTCAATCGAAATCAAAATACCACTACGTCCGTTACACGAAAAAAAGTTTCACAACTAACCTTAAAATACCACTCCCCTGTAGCCCTTCTAGGGTTACTGCCAGTCCCAAGCTCAGGTAAAGGAGGGTTTGACAAATGGTAAGCAACCCCATCCTGTAGAAAACAACCTTCCTCACAGAACAATAACCAAACAAATGTCCTTTAAACCATTCAAACACGGATCTGGAAGTTGAAGGATATTCATTCAGAAGCATTATGACGCCTCAAGGTGAAAGCCGAGATTCCTCGGAAGTCACGAGGCCGGTGCCTCTTCTAACAACCAGAGCAACAATTTAAATAGGTACATGGAATGCCCGGAAAATGTGGGAGACCGGCAGGGCTAACCAAATAGCTACGGAAATGGGGAGATACAACTTGATGGTTCTCAGAATAAGTGAAATCCATGGGGTTCAAGCTGGACAGAACAGGTTAGATTCCGAAGAAATGCTACTGTACTCTGGTCAAGAAGAGGAAAATGCTCCACATACACAAGGAGTTGCTCTGATGCTGTCCAAAGAAGCACGTAAAGCACTTATGCGATGGGAGTCTCATGCCTCCTGGATCACCTAAGCATCTTTTAAAACAAAGAGAGAGGGAATCACAATGAATGTTGTCCAGTGCTATACGCCAACCAATGATAGCAATGAGGATTATAAAGATCAGTTTATGAGAGGCTGCAATCGATCGTGGAGAAATGGCCAGAAAACGACCTGATCATCATGATAGGAGACCTAAACGCCAAAGTCAGAATGGATAACACCGAGTATGGAGATATTATGGGACTACATAGACTGACTGGGAGAATGGAACGAAAGTGGCCAGAGATTTTTAAATTTACGTGCCCTCAACAAAATCGTTATAGGTAGCACTATATTCCTCCACAAACTCAAACACAAAGCCATATGGGTCTCACCGGATCACACTACAGAGAACCAAATCGATCATGTTTGCATCACTAAAAAACTCAGAAGGTCAATCGAACACGTGTGAACAAAGAGAGGAGCTGGAAGAACACTAAGAAAGCAATTAACAACAGCCAGACAAGAGCAGAGAAAGTCAAGACACATTCCGAATACACAGAAGCAAACAAGAGAGCGAAGAAGAAGAGCATTAAACTCGACAAGTAGAAATACGTGGAAAACCTTGCACTAACAGTAGAGAAAATAGGAGACAACAAAATACAGATGTCTATAAACAATTGTCTATGCAAGATACTCCAGATCTGTTGACCGAATACCATCAGCAACAACTTACTGTGGGAGAGAACAAACGAGATCCCAGCTGAAGAGGAAATTAGGAAAAGACGTTGGAGATGGATAGGACATACATTGCGGAAATCAACAAATCGCATCACGAGGCAAGCCCTAACTTGGAAACCTGAAGGGAAACAGAAAAGATGAAGGCCAAAGAACACACTATGTCGGGAATCAGAAGCAGACATCAAAAGAGTGGATAGCAACTGGGAATGATCGTCCAGGACAGCGCTTGATGGAAAATGTTGGTGTGCGGCCTCCACACCTCCACTAGGGGTAACATGCGCGAGTAGTAACTTTCAAATTAATAGGAAGGTGGTTCTATTAAGCCCTCATGCATAAAAAAAGATAAATTGTATTCAAAATGTGATAGATGTGCAAGAACTTGCTTTAAACATCTAGATCATATTTAGGACAAGAATCAGTGAAATAAACAACGAACCATAATAACAATAATTGAAACAGAAAAGCTATGACATACATATCAGCACACTTTGATACTTAATTTCCCATTGTGAGGATAAGTGAATCGTTTAAAATTTACAAGGGCATCAACAACAGCTCTTACACTCATCACAATAGATTACAAAATTAGCTATTAGTTATAATAAGAATATTTTTAACGCGTAGAACGACTAAGTCTTGATGAGACAGTGGTCCAAATACGCGACTATCAGCTACTCTATCACAAATATGAAGTTAATAACTTGTATCAAGTTATGCATAACTAACTGAAACTGTAAGCTCTGGTAATCAATTTAACTCATTTTTCAAGTAGAGGTTTATGTAATCAGCTTTGAAAACGCTAATTTTGAGATAGTGATACCGCACTATTAACCAAACCGAAGTAGATAACAGCAAGTTCTGAACCCGAAAAATCCTAGTTCAAAGCTAAACGCTTTAACCACCAAACCACCTCACTTATAATAAATATGGTTATTAATCGAATGCATAAACATGTAAAAGTCATATTATATTATTACTAATTAGCCTGCCAAAACACTGCGGCTTTCACTTTATGTTGAGAGTTAGTCACAACGTAGAACGTGTACTTATGTGCATCGGTTCAAATTCCCATACTCCATTGGCACAGAGAGATAAAGTTTCCATGCTAAATCCCAGAATAGTAGAGGTAGTGACAGCATTAACAGTGATAGGAAGGATTATGTATCGTAAATACGACTTGAAAAGATTTAAATTAGCGAAATAAAAACAAAAACGTTATGAAGGAGGAATGAACACAACTTGCTTTGTCGAGACTGAGATTTTACGCGGTGTTTGAAACTGCCAAAATCATGACAAAAGGAATCATTTTTGTGAAATTATATGTTACTCTATGAAAAATAAAAGTACTTTCCAATATCTATGAAATAAAGATTGTTACAATACCAACTAAGGTGACTGAGACAAGTGTTACAGACTTCTTACCACCAATTTAATGAGCTAATAAAAGGTGATGGAATAAATCTCAGGACGCTAAGAGCGATATATAAGACGATCCTATAAAATCACCAACTAACCTTGTGAAGAGAATTAGACTGGAGTTCCTGAGACAATCAAATCTAAAGGTTCCAAAACAAATGGCAGTTGGAAATCGATAACAGTAGTTGGATTTCATGGAAACATTTAAATGACTAACGTAATTAGAGTACATTATATGACTTCGAGAATTCAAATTACCAACAGGCGGAATAAGATAATAAGCACTAGCTACCCTAAACATGACTAATAACAAAGAGGTTTCCCATTAAGAGAATTTTCATAGAAAGCAGAGATTAGTTATGAACACATAATAAATGAATTTTTTTCAATAAACTCCAAATTACAGAAATTATTTACAACGCATCAAATAATAATCGAGTGGATGCTTTACTAAAAGATGGCTTAAACTTTATGCGGTATTTTTTAACACTACACGATGAAGCCTGAATCATTAACTAACTACTGTTAGAGACGTGAAGTCCCAAAAATAACATACAAAAAACAACAATTGTGATCCGCAAGACCAATCAATGTGTATTATGCGGCTAATGTCAAAGTATGAACATCCGTAAACAATAAATATAACAAAAGAGCTTTTAAAGTGCACTAACTAGGCCAACAAATCGGTTTTCACTAAAAGTGAGTTCTAGTAAGCGTGTGATAACTTACACCGTCACACAAACAGGATGCTTCTGACTACGGTCAGATTATCAACTTTCAAAAGTCACAGTAACTGGAGATCTTAAATACATGAGTAGCCGTAAGGTCTTTCTGTTTTAACTTGTGAACATAGACTGAAACAGCCCAACACATTTCCACCACCTTATCTTGTTTTAGATGATCTGACATTGGATTACTACATAATGAACAATGATTCTTGGATCGATATACTGTCTTTATCTTTCATCTGAAAGACTATTCTCGGAAGTTTAAAGGCCAACACCGAATAGTTTCCATTCGCAGTTTTGTCTTTTGGACTGGGCCGTCTATCGTCGGAATTCTCTGCGAGACGATGCTGAGTCAGCACCACTTGTTGATAAAGATAAACTGAAATTAGATTTTAGCAATACTAAGGATCTCGCAGAATAAAACAGGTTGCTTGTTCACTTAACATTAGCTTTGGAAACTGGACACTGAAGATAACCTACGAAGTATGTTTTGCGGTCGTTTCGCGAATGAAATGAACCGGGCAACTATGGCTCGGGAATAAAGTGTGTAATATACGGACGTTTTATGATGGAATTATCAAGAATGTAATGAGACTTGTCTTTCATTGATATCCGTAGAACCGAGGGTTAGACAAAAAATAAGTCTGGTGTTACTGAGTATCTTTGAGCTAGATACAGTAAGAGTGGATAACAAACATGATAAACCATCTTGATCTGTTTTTCTGACAACGAAAAACTGATTCAAGAACCCCCGACTACCATGAATTGAACTAAAATTTGGAGTGTGGAAAATAAAACCCTTGAAGAAAAACGAAAAAGTACGGCAAGACGCATGACACATGCTTCTGATTTAGCCCATCAATAATGATAAGTTACTTTAATCATTTTCACATAAGTGTAGTCATGAAAAATAAGGACACTTTGTGTCATATGCAAGGTTAAGAGTAGTGAAACCAGAATATGATACATTAATCAGTCTACTTATAACAAATATTTGGGGACGTACCACTACCAACAAGGGCAGAAACGCCCAAAGTTGACGACATTCTCTAAGAATGAAGTGCCGCCGTAACCTCGATGTATTAAAACACAGCCATCACCAGGTGGAAAGATAAATAGATTGAATGACTGACGTCATTTGTGACTTTTCCGGCTTGGTTAATGCGCGGTACAAAATAAGGATTGACCTGCATAGTACTGCTTGGAATTAGATGGTGATTGAAGGTAGTCGACAGGAAACCCTAGACCCGGGTTTCGTGCTACTTGGCACTCGTCAGCAAGGTGAACCTGTAATCTTTGAAGGAACTGGTGCTCCCTGGCGGATTCAATCCCGTGTCACCCAGCTTCACAGTCAGAGATGTTACCACTGAGCTATCCGGGCCGCGACCGACCTCCTGTAGGACTGAGATGTAATCACAATTGATTGATCACTGGGTGGTGACCAATGTCATGTATGTGAAGTCCTTCTTCGTGCAGATCGAATCCTATCGGGTCACCTAGACTGGTGGCCACATTGCAACTTGGTCGATAGAATTCGATCTGTACGAAGAAGAACCTGACTTACATGACATTGATCACCACCCAGTGATCAATCAATTTAAATACATCTCAGTCCTGCAGGAGGTCAGTCACAGCCGCGATAGTTCAGTAGCAACGTCTCTGACTGTGAAGATAGGTGACAAGGGACCGAATCCGCCAGGGAGCACCAGTCCCCTCAAAGACTACAGGTTCACCTTGCTGACGAGTGCCAAGTAGCACGAAATCCGGGTCTAGGGTTTCCTGTCGACTACCTCCAATCACCATCTAATCTCACAATAGTGCCCGCAGTGTCGAGTCACCTAAACTGATGGCCACATTGCAACATGGTCGATAGCATTCGATCTGCACTAATAATAATGACTAGACAAGCATGACATTGGTCACCACCCAATGATCAATCAATTGTGACTGCTTGGAATTGAAATAGCTATCCTAAACATGAGTTGGAAGCGAATAAAATATCGTGTGATCTCGGATCGCCTTGATCACCAACTCAAGCCATAGGGTATTGGGAATAAAATCACATTGCCTCAACCTATCAAGTAAAGAAAAAACTCATTTGGTCTGGGTTTCGTAGAATCGGCAAATAACGTACCCGTCCAGTACTTCAAGCCCTTCATTGGCGGTCTATCCCTGACCAGTCCATGATTTCAGTGAACATTTAGAATGTGAGCATAGTTGAGATTTTCCTCTGACACTTCATCCTGTTCTTTTAAGATGCCATATGAATGTACTCAGTTTTGCGTCATGGTGCTTTGAAAGTCCATTGACGAATTTTGTATTTGATTTGGTTCTTCCAAATAAAAAGTTGGCCCTATTTTGATTAAAAGGCTTTTTGATTCTCGCCTACTTGGTAGTTGTATTTATTATACTTTTTGTTTAATACGTTATTTTGTATCAAAAAAATATATAACTGTATTGTACTTGAGGTGTTTTGTCTCTCATGTAGAATTTGGTGTCCTAAGAGTACCGCATAAGTGACTAACGAAGTCTGTGTTATAAAACTATAGCCGATCGTGACTCAAAGAGCTCAGACACAGTACGGAAAAACCCAATAGTTTGACTTTATCCAATGAATCTTCATTTTGTTGAGTTGTCGCCCAAACTCGAGCTGAATACTTGAATTATTTTAGCTAAAATATCACTATGCCGAAACCGAACGAACACTGCAATCGTACTTGGATTTTTGATCACACATTGCAGAAGAATTTAAAAGTCCCAGTCAGAATCATACAATATATAACGTATTGCTAGACAATTTATCTAATAACATATAAGGAAAAGAAGGAAAGCTACCATAATTAAATCACCTACTACCAAATGATCGGCTTTTGTTTGAAAACGTTGTTATCCGCACTACCATAGTCTGCTGAGATCAGACTTCAGCCATATTTGACATAGCGCTAGGTGGAGCGCTGCTATAGAATGGAAGCTACTACATCATGAACGGTTTCAACAAGCTTCATGAATCAAGGAAGCAGTAAGCCTACTAATCAAAGGCATTGAGTGGCTGTAGAGAACACTACTCACGAATTTTTTCGGAAAAGTTTTGTGATGGTTGCATAATCCGGGCAGAAAATATCCTAGGCTAAATGAAACACTGAGCTATTGAATTGTGAAAAGTTGCATTGCCTGAACCGATGGTGTATAATACAAAAGGTTTAAAACGCTACGTTGTAAGTAATATGTAGACAGATTCAGTATAAGGATATAGACGGGTTGAAAGTCTTTCATGCAAGCGTTGCTAAAATGTTGTGTAGAATTATGGTCTACTTCGACATTATGACTGCTCTAATAATAGACACGAAATTGCCCAATCTACAAGATCTTATGTGGAAGTCACATCGTCGTCTACCCTGATCGATCGTATTGCATCGGTCTTCAAAATGTTACGAAGAACACATTTATGCTGGAGATAGAGCAATTTATTTAATATGTATAACAATTATTTTATATAAGCATGACCACACTTGCAATGCCAAGCCATGCCATTCGATTAATCAATTATTTGAATTAATTCCTCTCGCCTTCTTCATCGCTAGATTCATCTCCGCGTTAAGTGTTGTATATCCGTTGTCCCAAATATCTCGTGTTCAGCTTTGAGGACTGTGCAGTTAGGGCGCAATGCCACTACAACTGCAATCAAGCATATAATACCTTCATGGATTCATCAGAAAAATAAAATATATCAACTAGGGACCTTTTTATACCATCTAACTAATGGGCGTGACATTCATTAACCGAAAAATCTTTGAAGTTACCTTAACGAAAAACTAAGTCGGGTATCGGATGGACAGGTTTACACTAAGGCTCCAAAAACTATAGTTGTGAGAAGCGTTATGTGCACAACACTTAGAAACCACAAGGAGCTATCGTCCCCGTTAATCTTCAATGATCTGCCAGAAAACATCTCATCTGTCCTCAACAATGCAGGGACATAATACTTCAAAAAGCTGTCAGACTTGAGTGGAGTTCACAACGACTCGAAATACGAATAATGCTATTGGAGGAGAGAACACAAAAATGTTTGATATTTAACTTCCAGAGTAGCAATACTACTTTCGCTTAGGTTAAAACCGATTAGTAAATGAAAATGCTGCAAAAGTCTGTTGCTTACAAAATGCTGGATATCAACAACGAATGTTAGAGAGATTTGGCAAAAGCCTAGTATTTCCTCCGCTTCGTACGTAAACATATAGTTGTGCTGACTTTATGGGATTTATCTGACACTACCTTATACATGTATCCACCTATACCTAACTTTATTACACCTTATCTACTCGAAAGAGGAATTAAACCCTATGGAACAAGCTTAGGGTTTCATTATGGAGTATGTTGTAAGATTCGGCGACAACCCTGTGATGATCGACCTCCCAACCAGAGATTGTACCCACTAGGTCACATGAGGATATGACATGACGTGATGATGATGTGAAATAATGCGTTTTTTAAGTCACCATGATACAAATATAACATCATGTGCACAATAGATTTGGGGGTCAACTGACCGTGAATTGCATAGTGAAGTGGAAATACCCATGTAAGATGACAAGTTCGACATATTTGGCAAGCCCTCCCAGCTGAAGTGGCTATAATCGGCTCAGAGGAAACTTAACAACCATTTATGTGTTCATGGTCTAATATCCTTTGCTTCTTACAACTGTTGACCATACACACTCATTAAGAAATACTCCTTGTATTTACTAGAATGCCTTATTTTATTTTAATCATTATTATCATCATTTATTATTAGTAGTATGCCGCCATACAACCCCACCATTTACCATCCCCATTCATCGATTGTGTTGTATGCATTTATCTACTGAAATATTTTCTTAATTTTTCGATAAGTTACGAAGCCTATTTATTTATCATGGATCCGTCTTCTGTCAGATCTTTTCTGTTTTAATTCTTAATTCTTCCATGTACCAATAGATTACTTGTAAAGTGGCAGCTACTGATTCTAGAAGCCCTACCTGACCAGCATAAACAGACTCATTTATACTCACTGTAATGACACTAAATAACGGTCGAATTTAATAGGATTAGCAATCTAGTGTTAAGACAATCCAGTATAGTAAAGTGAACAAAAGAGAGTGAATCAATTTTACACTAGTTATTACGTAAATATATGATGTTATTTAACAGAAGCGTTTAATTGTTTTACTATATTAATGAATAGTTACTGGTGAGAAACACGGTTACACAATATCAAATGACTGATGATGAACTGTTCGGTCAGTTTGTCTTTCCCAACGGAGACTATTACGAAGGTCAGTACGCTATTAGAGATTCAGGAATTGTACGCCACGGAAAAGGCAAATTTATTGGTAATTTTAGAAAACGGTTGTTAGATGTAGCAAAATCAAATTCAATTAGCCAATCGTATGAAAATTTGTCAGACATCAATCCTGAATGTAAAAACAGAGATACTTTTGATGTTTCAATGTTATGTGATTTGTTTGGAGAAACGTTTTTTTATAAAGGATATTACTCAGGAGAATGGGTGAATGACAAAATTGAAGGATTTGGGAAAGTGAAATTTACATCTGGATCTCATTATGAAGGCAGTTTTAAAGACAATAAGTTAGTCAATTTTTTACGATTTTCAAAACTTAAATACTCACCGAGAAGATTTTGAGAGGTGAAGATCGATTGCATGTTATGTACGAAATGAACATAAAACATATTTCGTAGGTTATCTTCAGTGTCCAGTTTCCAAAGCTAATGTTAAGTGAACAAGCAACCTGTTTTATTCTGCGAGATCCTTAGTATTGCTAAAATCTAATTTCAGTTTATCTTTATCAACAAGTGGTGCTGACTCAGCATCGTCTCGCAGAGAATTCCGACGATAGACGGCCCAGTCCAAAAGACAAAACTGCGAATGGAAACTATTCGGTGTTGGCCTTTAAACTTCCGAGAATAGTCTTTCAGATGAAAGATAAAGACAGTATATCGATCCAAGAATCATTGTTCATTATGTAGTAATCCAATGTCAGATCATCTAAAACAAGATAAGGTG